TGAACAACATGATGTATTTATATTTGCAAACTTTTCACAAATTTTTATTTGTTTTTATATGATCACTTCAAATTTTAGTACATAGAGGCTAATATTATTATTACTTAAATATTAATAAATGCCATTTCTTTTTCATTCTCTACCTTATGATGTTTTTTTAAAAAATTTTCACATCCATTCTTGAAATGTGTTCAAAGAGGTCATTCATTCTATTGACGTTAAAAGTCGGGAACCCACAAAATATTCAATAGATTGGTGTTGACAGTGGATACTACTACTGCTAATAATAATAAGATTTCATATTAAAGAGGCTGGAACCAACTAACTACTTATATATAAATATATAAAAGAGAGAGTTAGATTAATCTTTGACAAAAGGAAAAAGCTATTTATTTTATCAGGTCAAATTTTTTTCTGACCATGTTTATCACAAAAAAAACAACAAACAAACCGAAAAAAACAAAAAAATAAAATAAAGCAAACAAACAAACGAGGTATAGTATAGAGTTTTTGTAATAAAATATACTTTTCTGAATATTACAGATTACTCTTTCTTTCTTTCTTTCCTTCTTTTCTCTTTCTTTTCTCACCTACATTTGTAAATGATTTTATTTTTAGGCGATAAAAAGGAGAAAAATAACACAGCAACTTTATATTGATTAGTTTTATTTGATTATTAGATGAAATGACCTTATCTTGTTTATTAACTAAATGGAAATCGAACAGTGTAATATATAAATAAACAATGTTTATATATTGAAATATGAGAAGGTGAATACATGATCGTCACCAATCAGTTTTTTTATTTAATTTACATAATAATGTGTATATGTTTTATTAATTGGTGATTTAAATACATTTTATTAGGTTATTATTGAATTGAAAATTGCCCAATGTTAAGTAGCCATAACACATTGGATAAGTAGTATGAAAATTAAGATAATCATAGAAAGGAGTATATGTATTCTATGTAGTTGTGAAATATGATCTTATAGTGATCTATAATAGACAAGAAATCTATATTTACAAGTGCCTATCGACTATATTTATCTTTTCGGTTTATTAAACCATAACTATCATGACAAAATTTTACCAAATTAGAGAGCCAATCTGATTTGAGTCTGTAACTACATGCTTATTTTGCTCTTCTGATGATAAATAAAAATAATAATCTTCATGCAAGAGACTTTTTTCTCGGGAAGCCGATCAGTGAGGGACCATTGATGTTTGATAAAGTGCTTCAAGATACTAGAGCACTCGTTGTCAAAAAAGCATTGGAGCTCCTGTAGAAAGTAACAGCTTTTTTTGTTTGGATAGAATAAAACCCGATTGAAAATGTAAGAAATGGAGAACAGTTATATAATTTGTATTATGATACACTCAATTTTAATTTAATAATCTGAAATATTAATTAATGATAAACACATAGTTCACTGAACAAGAAAAAAGTGAATTATAATTTGTAATTGCTACCATAAATCAAATTTATAATAAAATATCAAAAGCTTATTAGCCATCAATTCATCACTCGAATGATTTGACCTATTTTATCACCCTTTAATTTTGATATGAAATTATGTTCATATGAAATAGACAGAGAAAACTTTGAAAATATTGTGGTTTTTATTGGTTATAATGTAATACAACTGTAACATATATACTTTCCAATAATCTATTCACTTTTTATGAGCAAAAACGAATGGTTTCTAGCAGCGGAATTCACTGGTAGTATTTATAACTCTGAGACGCAGGTACATTCAGCTGATGAGTCCCAAATAGGCGAAACGCGCGTCCTAGATTCCACTGTTAGCAACTATCCATCTTTGCTTACAAAACTTGTGACTTAAGGCAATACTGAAGCAGTCGACATAGGATGCATATATGCCAACAAGAAACTGATCACAACAATGGGAAGTTTCAAACAAACAATATCAAGTGCATTTATTGTACTTGTTTAACAAGTCAAATGCCAGAATACGTTGGATTTAATAGAAATCAAATGGTAAACATTTATTAAATGGATAAGTGGTATTCTGAATATGAACAAAACGATGCTGAATTCAAGATAAATCATCAGGTCATACTCATTTCAACTAGGTAAATGATATTTAATAATTCATTTTTGCATTAGTAATCTAATGATAATTCAGTTTGAAAACATCACTTTCCCTGAAAACAAGTGATCATTGAAGGAGAATATTAATATATCTAACCTAATATGATTTTAGTACAATTGTCAGTTCTGCAATAATAGATGATAATTACTTTTGACTTGTGTATAAATAGTTATATACTGTCTATAACAGTCGGAAATTTTTACATTTTTTCTGCATGTTATGTAGTTATATGCTGCTATTCTAGTAAGCCTAATACTTATTTAAATAATTAGAATGGATTTCGTAGTGCTATGCAAGCCTACATAGCATATTCTAGCTTCTGGACAAGTCCATTCATTCTTCTTAAATCATATTTTGACTTTGTTAATTATTCGCTTATCAACCTAGACTGTTTTAGGTAAGCAAATGTATGCGCATTACCTTTCTTACTCATCACATGTCTGTTATTTATTTTTGTTTGACTATAAATATCGATTAACCCTTGATTAAATCGAGTTGGCTTACACACCTCCAATGCATGCCCTCTAGATTTGCTCTCTTCTGTTTGGTTTATTCCTCTGATTGTCTGTTCAAATCAATCAGTGCACAAAATATACGTATTCAAAACTTCATTCTCGTATCTGACTTATTTAATACCGTCATTCGTTAACGTGATTTAAGTCGACAATTACATACGAGGGTTAGAGACATGTATATTTCGATAACTCTATAACGATAATTACACGATCAAATCAAGAGTCAGATGTAGGGCCACAAATATTACTTGTATTTGAATTATGCTTGATAAATATATGTGAAGTGAGTAATTATGGTATCGGGGTTACAAGTAAGTTATCTTTCCTTATGTTGAACGACTGAACTACAAAAGATGAATACTGAATGGATTTCTTTGTCAAATATTTCATTATGTATTGTCCTCAGTTCAGTGATATTAATATCTCTGACTTAAAATTCAAGATTTTGGTCCATAAAACCTTATGCATCTAGTTACGCAGTTGTATTTGTAGTCAGATTGAATTCAACAACTGGTTCTGTTATGAAAACAGGTATTTACATATCTTTTGTACACACCACAGCTACCTACATTATATAATGATTACAGAATCGTTAGAAAAAATTAAAATCAAGCTAATTCAAGTAAATTAATAGAATTTTGAAAAGATTGATACACTGTTTTCCAAACTTTTACCCATAAATTAGATCTTATAAATATTAAGCTATTTTACACTAATACCATGTTCACAATACTACAATTCCATTTCATTTTGTTTTGTTGTCATTACTGATTATTTCTGATCGATTATTTATTCACATTACGTATTGTGAAATAGATTAAAAGCAAATGATTCTCATGTACTGTTTTTAATAATATTACTAACAAATAAAGATGAACGGGAGATTGGCTGTAAGAATCATAAGTACAAAATGAAAAAGAAATATCATATGGAAGAAATAATCAAATAGAATTTCCCATATTTTTGTATAGAAATAAGAAGAAAGGTTGCAGAAGATCGCTAATCGACTGAAGTTAAGCATTAACATCTTTAAATGCCGGTTCAGTCGTTTAGAAATTAAGCGTTAACGTGTCAGACAGAAAGTCCTGAGTTCGAGTCCTACGTGCGGTGTCGTGGATGCGCGCTGTTGAGGAGTCTTATACTAGGAAGAAGTAGCCGTTCAATATCTCAAGGTTTTCAGGGGAGGTTTAGCTTAGATCGGATCGTGAATTCATTTATTAAAGTACTACAATATCCGAAACTTCCCATGCTGATATAAAAGAAGCATACGTGAAGAGTAAACATTTAGAATGAGTAATCCTTTATACCGTCTCATCTTTTTATTGATTTTCTTAAGTTGAGAAAAATCATTTTATTCATCTCACTCTGTATGCTTTGTGCTGTTATTATTACTGTCATTGTTGTGTTTGGAACTTTTATTTTTCTATTTAGCCTGTTCCCAATTCGTATTAGGATATCAACTATCCAGTTAATATAGATAGTAAATTGTTTGAATAATGCAAGAAATGTTACGGAAGATAGTTATATTTGTTAGCTTGGATTTAGTGTTTTCGGCTTTAAAAATGTCTTATTCATGTCTTATTAGTGATTGTGGCTGGCTGGAGAAATATTGGATTGTTTGTATCTGATCGATCGAAAATTATTTCACAAATTCTGACGAGAAATCACAAGTATTGAAGCTCAACCATGTTGGTAATTTGGAAATGTATCACAGATGACACTTGACAATTGTGCTATATCATGACCCGACATAAGTGTAGACTATGAGCTTACGAAACGGTGGTTTGAAGACTAAATCCTTCAAGCGGAATCTGAAGGTCTAGACCTTAATGCCAGTTAATTGAGTGCGTCTTTGAGTAATTTGAAATTACTATGGAATGGTTCTTCGATTCCTGTTGTTTTTCAACCTGCCCAGAAACGGTAGCGATAAACAATTATTAAGATACGGTAAAATTTGGGGATAGAATTTCAGCCAAATGGTTTCACTTTCTTGTGACTTAGATCCAGTGGGCAAACGATGGCCTGAAAAGCTAGTGTGGTGAATTCATGAATCGCAAAATTCTGCTTAATGTTGTCAAGAAATCAGAATGATTGCTTTCAAAACCATGGCTTGTTTAAATGCAGTGAAAAAATAACATGGCTCAATAAACTTTATTTTGAATTTTGAACCTTTACATTGAATGATCGATGAATCTCTTGAATGTTCATAGATTATACGTGAACGTTGCATCAACTTTCGATACATAAACATTTTACATTTTAAATTTTTCAGGTAGGTAACTTGAAATTCACACAAGCTTATTTAACTCGTTGGGTTAATAATCCCATAAACAATACAATACGTTTTAAAAAAAGTTAAATAACTTACTTGAAACCGATACTTTGGGTGTTTCATAAGACTTTGGTTCATCCGTTCCATGATTCGTTTGATTAGCGAATTGCTGTAGCATATATCGATTACCTCCATTTACATAATTCATACTATTATTTCCATTACTGTTAGTAATTTTATCGTTATACAGCTTTATACAATCTGTAGTATATGTTGTAGTAGTATTTTTAGTATAGTTATTAAATCCTAATGATGGTAACCAGTAATAACATGGTGAATTAATGAATAAACCTGGTTCTGGTAGAAGAGCTGCAGCAGCAGCGGCCGCCGCAGCTGTTTGAAAATTTTGTTTACTTCCTTCATTGTTGAAAAATGATTTTCTCAGATTAGCCAGGTCATAACCGTTGACTGTTGTATATGCAGAAGTATTCATGTAATCCGGAATTAAAAAAGGTTGCATTAAAAAACTTTTCATGTATTTATTACTTAAAAGCGATTTTAAATTAAGGTTAGAATAGTCTATGTTATTATTGTTGTTTGAGTTGTAACGAGATTTTCGTCTATTCGTAGCAAAGCTATGATTAATAAAGTGATCTGTATCTTTTGATGCATAATTAGATTTTGATCTAGTATAGAAGTTAGTTGTATTTGATGCGCCAGCTCTTAATGATGAATTCGTACTAACTAATACACTTGAGGTCGTGATAGATTTTGATATGGTTGGTGTGGAACTATCAAAAATATCTGGAATCGAATTAGATCTTGTTATTTCTGTTGTTTTAACAAAGCCAAGTGGTGAAGAAATTTCACTTTTCGTTTCTCGATTCAATTCATTCATGTCATTTGATGTGCTGATACTGATCGAAAGGTTATTGAAAGTGGTAGTTTCTATATCTGAAGTATTACTACGTAATTCACAACAATCTCCTTCATGATCAGAAATATTATTGGATATTTGAGTGAAGAGTTCTTTTCTTCTTTGGGTAACATTATATGGAGTTCTATAAAATAAAATTACATAAATGAATCTATGAAACTGATTAATAGACAAACGTTCGTTAAAATAAACAATTACTTTTTAACAACAACGATTTGATAGAATCGACTGATGAGAAAGATGTCCTTATTTATATAACTAATGAGTGGTGTTCATGGATTTTTGAATATTTGCCGACTTTAGAGGTCAAATATTCTGGTTTTTAGAATTTGGTTTAGCAAATTTTTCGACTATAGAGTAAATAACTTTAGCTAGTAAACATTAGACCTTCAGTGAATTGTTGATCTAAATTAATTGTTTATAGGTAAAGAAAAGTCGGCCATTTTAAATCATTTTCAACAATTTGAGCTGAAATAATCTCTTTGAATCGATTTCTTATATCGGAAGAACTTAGTGAATTAACTTTACCATTACTTTCAATCTGTTAAAGTTATACAAGAATAAAAACAACTATCGGTCATGAATCCATTTAAATTGTAACTACAATTAAATTTGAAGTTTTATTCTAAATTTTATTCTAACAAATAGTTCTCCTGAACATTGTATATAAATTCGTTTTGTATTGTTTGTTTGAATCTTCTCATTGATGTTATGAACTGTAATCGATCACTCTCTCATTGATATGTGTGCACTCTGTGAACATCAACTCAGGGATACAAGTACATCCAGCTGACAAGTTTCAAATAGGACAAAACATGAGTCCTAGATTCCACTGCTAGTTACCATTCATCTTTGCTCATTGTATATAAATGTTCACATTTACTTCTTTTTTTATCTTCAAGTAGTAGAATGATTCACATGACAACATGTTCGATAAAATTTTACCAATATCTTTTCAAACCAACTCTTATTTCTACACATAATATCACATATTGACAAATATAATTGTTTTTACAAAGTGATCAATGTTATGACCTATTTGTTTATTGTTAAATTAATCTGATCAATATAGTTCGAGAAGACTGGATATCTTCTAATTAATTTTAACAAAATATATATATTTCTATATATTCATTAAATGCCATATCAATATTTTAATGATTACTGACCAGTGCTCCAGACAAAAGGGAAATAAATGTACAAATTAATTTCTAGGATGAACTAATTTCCATTAAGAACTTAATCACAATATGTATATAACCACACCTTGTTTTAAGTAAAATTTTATTATATTCTTATTAAAATAAACAAAGTTTCTTAATTTAAAAACAAATGAATATACATATAACTCTATATGTGTATGTGGGTGAGTTGGAGGCGGGGGGGGGGTAGATAAATGAACAGTTGCATTGAGTCACCTTGGTAAATTTCTATTGTTTTTTTTCTTCAAACATATTCAATCTAAAAATATTTCTCATTTTATTTTGTTCTGTTCTTGAGAGATTGTGACAGAAATAGAGAATTATTGACGAATTCATTTTCAGTGTTAGTTACGAAGTAAACATTAGGTAGTCAAGTACGTTAATATTGACAGTGAAGTAAAGTGTTAAATTTATTAATATCTAATTTGGTGAATAAAAAGATATAAATAGAAAGTTTCATAATATGAGATTTATTCTCCTTTTAGTTTCATCCATAGATTAAATTTATCATTAACTATAATGTAGACAAGCGCTTTTATATCATTGAAGACGAGAAATCTTGTGATTAATTTGTTTAGACAGATTTTTTCATTTTAAATATTAACAGAAAGATGCACAAGATTAAAGTTTCTGCTGGTTGGAGCTACGTCTTTTTGACACAGACTAACTTATATTAAAGCACAGTTTACACGATTTCATGACCGTTAAATCAGTGGGCACATTTCTATACGACCAGGACTTCAGAACTAAACAAGGATAACATTGACTACTAATTGATTGGTTGGTATGAATAGGATTTGCCTGAGCTACAATGAAATATTATTGTTGTACATATTACTAAAATAATTCCACTTAGACCCTCAACCACATTTTCTTAAATTTCTATTTCTGCTACGTTACTATTTGTGTTTATAAGCGCCTCAGTGAACTACTAGGACACTTCATATACTTAGAAATGTTGTAATAAATAATATGACGACAATTAAAAATACTACTGTTATTAACTAATAATTGCATATTATCAGATACTTTTGCAACAAAATGCTGTGTAAGAGGTTGTGAAAGTAGCTTCTACCTAGATCTACGAAGTTATCTGTAAATCCATGTTGTAAGATATAGATATCTTTGAAAAGCTATGACTTAATTATTTGTCGTACTCTTTAAACTATGAATAATGGTGTTAGTACGTTCGACCCACAGCGATATTACGATTTCAGTGGAAATTGAAACAGTTTACAAATGCATGTAACTAAAAATTCAAACCTTATTTGAATTTCAGCTGGTAGACTGGAGTTTTCTTTAGCTGTTTTGTCTGTGGTGTGATTAGTTCGGCTCATTGAACACGGTGATGTTGATGATGGTGAAGGTGAACTAAGGGATGGAATAGATGATAAGTCTGGAGTAGTGGATTGTTGACTTTCTTGACCAGACTCAATATTATTTTTAATATTATCGGCATTAATTGAACAGTCTTGAAATGATAACTGATTATTTACGGATTTTGATTTAAAAGTTTGTGGATATATTTTCTCGAGTTTGTGTTGACGGTTGACCTTGGATGCTGATATTGTATACGAACTTGACGATGAAGTTCCTAACTCACATTCAGAAAGCAATTCATCATGTAGCTTCTAAAATTAAAAGAAACGTTGAATATGAATAAAGGAGATAATCTTATTTTTCAACTCTGATAAGGATGAACGAACTAACAAATTAATTTTTAAAAGCAAATTTCCTACTTGGAATTTGAACTCGTACACAGCACAAAATGTTATTCAAGTCATACTTGTTTACTTCACATTTTAATTAAATTACAGAAATCTTTGTGACTGTATGCATAAATGATTACGAAAGAGAAGCACTAGTACTTGATTTGATGAAGCTGTTAAAGATATCGTCAAATGATAAGACATGCGAATCTGCTTATATATGCTGAAATGAATATGTGGAACCAGTGACTGCAAGTTTATTGCACTTCATTGAATCCCTTATTTAATTATGTAAACGCATCTAAAGTGGTGTTAAGATTTTAGTGTTATTATAATCTCTCTGTTGTCCAAATATATCACATCCTAGAAAAAAATACAAATTTATTCACTGATTCACTAGTTTGTATGTAAATGTCTAGTTGAAATGTCGTACGGATTCTAAAGTTTGACTCATAGTGGAACCACTTAGCCGTTCCAGTATGCCGTTTAAAAAAGAGGGTATGATATGTTTTCATTATGAACTGATCAAAGTTGTTGAAGGGAGGAGCTACTGACTGCCATTTACAAATATATGCATAACAGACTTTTTTAGTAAACTAAGTAAACAGCTGCTCAGTAATATAGGTTCAGATTTTTGAATGTGGATAAGTTAGTATAACAATTGCTAATACGTTATATTAACTATTCATACAAAACATATCACCTAGATTTTAAATTTAAGGCCGATAATCAACAACCCTGCAACATCAAATACATGAAACGTGTAAATAATTGCAAATTATTTGATCCCATTAATGTATTCGTTGCTTAGTCAATAGCCTGGAATATTGATTTTCGGATTTTTTATACAACTGGGAAAAAAGAGAATAATAGTTGACATTTTTACTTATACAGGATACAGACAACTACATTTTATGATAATACTTAAAATATCTGATGATTCATTTCAAGCGGTTCTACCATGAGCAGTGAAGCTCTAGTGTAATGAAAAATATGATCAAATTCAAATTTCTAATTTGAGATATGAGAGCTATACTGTTAAGCATTTCTTTTGCCTCAAATCTCATTTTTCTTCTAGAGTAAATGAGCGAATAACTTCCTACTTATTTACGTTATAAACAAAAATATTAAGTTTTTTTATTCAAAATAGTGAAAACTGCCTACTCTACTTTTGAGAAGTTCATCAGTTGTTCATATGAATTTTCATTTTAAATTATGAAATGTAAACAAAAGCTCGAAGGTCAGTTGTCATCTTCTAACTACCGTTCATAAATATTAAAAACTTACTGGAATGAGCCGAGGTGATTGTGCAAAATATAAATTCCCTTAGTAAAGAAACATTGTCTAGTGGAAGTAGGTGGCCGATATTATCAGAATAGGGTTTGCGGAGATTGTAGTAATTTAGTAGTTGAATTCATGAGTCGATCTAAGCTAGATTACTTGAGGGATCGTGGATGCGTACTGTTGATGAGTCCCATACTAGGACGAAACGGCCATCCAGTGCTTCCAGATTTTCATTAGTGGTCTAGCTTAAATTGATACTTACAAATCAATCCAGATAAGTAACATATCATGCATGATTTTCCGAGATTTTATTTTATAAGTTGACCAATATAATTAGTCATGTTGAATGCTAGTAATGTTGTTCAGTGCCCATTTAGTTGAAATATTCGATTGTAAATAGAAATATATAACTGATTATCGAAATAAACAAAGTATAAGCCTGTGATTGCTGTTCCTACATAACATGACCTATTTACAAAGGAAAATCGTGAAAACGTCTTTATTACCGTATCTTTAACTGAATCTTGGAGAATTTACTTTCTCGAACATAAGTATTTAATCATTACCTATCAACATTTTATTAAGTTGTACTACGTGGTATAACTGAGAGAATATATCGATTTGAAAAGAACGTAGTATTATCACTATACACATGTCATCCCATGTAAATCGTTAGTGTTATGTTATGAACACATTATCAACGTTACTACTGAGAAAATTAGAACAATGATCGAAAAGATCTATTAAAATCATGCAATAAAATGTATATGAATAATCTAATAGTAAAGAATATATCAGTATGGGATTGTGGAAATTATTAAGTTTTTGATTAAAATAATGAACCGATTGATGTTAGACAACCATTTAAAACCCGGAAGCAATAGACGGTCGTTTCGTCCAATTGTGACACCGACTACTGATAATTACAATGTGCTCACTAGTGACTAGCTTCGTGAGGGAATTCTCGGAGTTCTAGTTAGAAACCGTGACCAGTGGAGCTAATCGGTGTCGGGTAGAGACAGGTATCTACTTCAGTACAATGGAAGATGGTCGCGCAATTTGGTAGATTGGTTGAACTTAGACCTCAACACCGTTGGATGCCGGCTCAGCGGCCTAGAGGTTAAGTGTCGCGCGCAAAACTGAAAGCCCTGGGTTCGAATCCCGCGAGCGGGCTCGTCGATGCGCATTGCTGAAGAGTACCACAATCGGAAGAAACGGCCGTCCAGTGCTTCCAGGTTTTCAATGGTGGTCTAACATCAATCTGTTCATGATCTCAATCAAATAATAAAGAATATAAACGGAAAGAGATGGAAAGTGAAAAACAAATACGGTATTCAAGAGAAATGAAGAAAATCCTTTAACAAGTCATATCAAGTCAAGAGGACAGAAGTGTCGCGAATGTCTTCAGAACATATGAATTAGGGTTCAAGATTCGGATCCATATGGATTCTGATATGTGTAGAAGATGAGATAAAACCCGAATTGGAAACGATGAAGGTATGCGATTAATGGTCTAATTTTATCTACCATATGGCCAGTGTCAACAAGTTGTGCCAAGAAAAAACGGCGAATCATCTTGATTGGTTTAATATTTTCATATAAATATTCATGTATATTGACGTATGATGGCGAACTAATGGAAAACAATATTGTTCGCTTACATGAATTGTTCTAACGACATTGTTTCCGTATTTTTGTAACCACAAACGTTCATACTAGTTCCCTCTTACATGTATATAAAGAAAATTGTTGTTTTAATTTTTATTTTTTAAGCAAAGTCTGCATCTTAAACCACTCGCCTTTTCATTATCAACTGGAAATATGCGATCTGTAGTCATCGAATATGGTAAATTCAACCCAAAATATAGAAGCTTACTTATAGTGAGTACTTATTTACATAAACACGTGATTACTTTGTCTCGTCAATGGCATTTTATTTAGTTTTATTAACAGTAGTAAATCAGGAATTTCTAAATTGTCCTTGGTTGTTCTGTGGTCACATTATTCTAGTATAATTTATTCAATTTTTGATTGTAAATATTACTTTACAATGGCATGTAATAAATAATGTTGCATGAGTTGGTTCCATTGACATATTTTTCGTTCATCATTACATTAGATATCCCTTTATGAATATTCAATATGCTTCCTGAACAGATACATAAGATTATATGTCCTTCAAAAATATCCGCTGACTGCTTTTTAATGCAGAAGGTATAAATTAATTTTTCTGATATCTGATGTTCTCATCCACTTTAATTTATTTTTGATAAACTAATCAAATGTAAATAGCATTTTCATTATCAACAAAGGTTTAGACAAACATGCAATTGATCATTACTCAGTGACTGATCAATTTCAAATATCACCGTTATATAGGAGATCAGCCATCAACTTTCTAGGATAATGGTGACAGTTCATACTATGAAACTGAAAGACATGGGTACCTATCACACGTGGATCATCGGTTGTTACAAGCTTACAGGTACGCTTAACTAACGAGTGCTAACCGTCACGAAACCTAGATATAGGGTTTCCTATGGACTACCTCTGGCCATCTAACTATCATGTGTAAGAATTAGAAGAACACCATGACAAACATATTCAGTTAAGTATTTTAAAAAATCACATCTTCGATGTATGGGAATTTCGCGTTTAGTTATTCGATCTGACATTTAACCCATAAAAGAATATACTCCATTTTTTGTTTTATAAAACGACAACAAATAAAAGTTGTGACAACTTTATATGTGTCTAGTTTTGTAACGAATGAATACTATGAATAGAAAGTATTTTCTTCCCATGGATTATTTTAAAGATTTAATGTTGTGTGTTGATGACGTTTTTTAGATGTATACTAATCATCATAAAAATTTTTTCTTACAGTTTTACTTACTAAAAGTTTTACAGTTTACAGTTTCCAGAATGCAGAACTAAAATTGCCAAAAAATGCAAAAACGGATTTCGAATATGGAACGATAGAAGCTTATGGCCTAATGATTAAAGAACTCAGCTTTCAAGTACTTTTTTGAAGGATTGGACATTACTTCAGTTTATTGTTAACAGGTACATAATATCATCTGTTCCGGGAAAATTTCTGGCTTACAGGCTTAATGCATAAAATGGTAATCGGTATAGAAGTTACATATGAATGTAGTATCATCAGATATATAATGGCTAGCGATGATAATGTCTTAACAAATTGACAGATATACACATCAGTAACATTGAGATGTGATTATGTTTCAAAAACAAATTAAATCTGAGTTTCTTTGCATTATATGAACAAGTTCCAGTTTGTAATACTGATTTCTAAACAGTAGAATGGGTTACAAAAATAAAAAATTCATTAACCATTTGGAGAATACATACATAGTTTTATCACTTCAGAACAGAAAAAAATCAATAACTGAATCGTACATTCTCGATGTCTGTAAACACGCATTGGCATCTCTAAGTCATTTAGTGGTCACTTAACGCACGTATACTTTTGAATTGGCATTTGTTTATCCATAGACTATACAAGATTGTGTGATGTATAATGTAGTGGAAACGTATATTTTGCACATAAGCTGTGGCGTAACAAGTTAAAATGAGCAATCTAGTCATTAAATGACTCAAACGATGATAATCGGAAT